AAGCCTATTAGCTATTCAATTAGAGCCTTAAATTTTTTGAATTTGTCCAAAATTTTAGACTTTTAGTTATTGAAGTATATAAAAGTCTTTCTTGAAAAATTGTCAAAGAAGGTATAAAAGTATTCTATCCTTCCATGTGACATTATTTGAATAGGACTACTTACATTGGAATATATCAATTCTAAAATTTTTGTTGCATGGATACCATCTTTTATTGAAAAAATATCATAATGTTGTTTTTCATAATTATATTCTTTACAAAAATCTAATTTTTTTATACTTGCCTACATCAAAATACATAACAATATCATTCGTATGGAGTTTCTTTAAGCCGGAAATATCAAAGTGACCAAATTGTTGGTAGTATAGATTAGTCTTGTTCAAAATTTATTTTGCCTTAGAAAAAAGTGAAGCCTTATTTTTTTAGAAGAACCTAACGACTTATAAAAGTTTCTTAATCTAACACCTTTGATGATAGTATTGTTATATTTTATAAGACAAGTCTCTACTTTGAAACTTACTTCATAATTTTAATCTATTATTTTGTTAATTGATAGTAAGTTTTTAGTAAGTCCTTGTACATGCAAAATATCTTTTATATCTTTTAAAATACTTTTTTGAAACTCAAAGAAAATCTTATTATTTTTTTGATGGTAAGTCTTGTATTATCCTCTAAATAAACTGATTGATTTGACACTCTCTTTCATAGAAACTTCTCTTACTATAATATCTATATTTGATATTCTTTTTATTTTCATGAAAATTTCTATTATCATTATGATTATAAGAATATAGCATAGATTTTTTACTTGCTACTAATGTTGCCTATAAGATTGATCTTGCATCTTTGTTATAACACTATTATTGCAATAGCTGAGTTGTGACCATTTGTAATATCAATTCAATTAGAGGTCTTGTTTCCAATGTCATTGCTAATGTACAATATGATTCCAGAAGACTTTCTAATAATACCATGATAAGGTTTGTGCCAAAAACTTTCTTACTAATAGAAGAAAGTTTATCAACTATTTCTTATAGTTTGTCTGTATGAATGACAATATTATTATCTTAATTTATTTGTGTGGTCTAAAACTTACAAATCAAGTATAATAGGTTCATAGTATTTTTTACTTTGTATATTTCTTCTAGACCCTTGTATGCAACTTCTATACTTTTTGCTTTGTTTATGGTAAAAAATTCTATATTTCTAAGATATATATATATATATATATTACAAATAATATCCTTTGATCTATATTTTTTTATTTTTCTAAATTTGTTGGATCTATAAGTGACTTAAGTAGATTTCTTGTATTTTCTACAAATAACCTTCCATGAATTCTTCTCACTAAAAATGAACTTGATTTCTTCCTTCCAAAAATGTCAATTGTCTCTATTATTTTTTTCTATCTTGTAGTATTCTATTACTATGTTATAATGAAAATGACTAAAATGAAAAACTTATGAGAAATAAAGAAAGATAGTAGAAGATAGACAGAAATAGGATCTAAATGAGACTAAATATCTACTTATAGTCTTTATATAGAAATTCTTTAAAAAATCTAAATAATAATAATAATAATAATAATAACAAGTTAAGTATATGTAGTATTATACCACTCATTCTCCTAAAACAACTTAAGTCCAAACTTCCAATATTGAGAAAGTTAGAATATCTTAGGCTAGGTATTATTAAAAGAAAAACAAAAAAATTACAAACTTAATTTTTAGAGTTGATGGACCTTTGTTAGATTCAAATAAAAGTTCTCATGTAAAGTGCTAAAAAAATCTTTGCATTCTTAAAATATGTTCTTTGTTGTTGTTGTTGCTTGGTCCCACTCAAAGCATGTTTCTTGTTGTCGGCTTATCTTGCTGCTATTATTGTTGTTTGGTTACAATATCATTGCTACCACATTTCCAAACTAATCCTTGATTCTTGATAGAGTATTTTCTTATTTTCTATCTTATTTATCCATTGTTGAATAACAAACAAGTTGCAAGCTCTAAGTTAAAAGTTTCTAAAGCCCCAGGGATTATTTCAACAAAGCTTGTACTACAATTCTTTCTTCAAAAATCTCATATTGCTTCTAAAAGAGCTACCATGGAATTCTAAAATTTGGATTCAAGTTCTAAAAATCTGATCACCTAAAAATAGCCTCTTTAAGGTAATTAAAAAATCACATGTTATAAATAACTTCATATAATTTATTTAATCTCTAAAGGATAAGCTAAAGTATCAAGCTTTGATACCATATCAAACAATATGAGATATATATTGCTATAGGATATAAATATAATGATGTAAAATATATATGAGCTTATTATCCAACCATCAAGGATTGAAGAAAACTAATCATTTAAAATGAGCCTTAGATTTTAGTTCTTATAACACAAGTCTACAATCTATTGATATGGAATTTTTAGTATGAACATACTAATGACTAGTTTAGCTGCTAAGGTCCAATTGACATATAGACACTTGTCTTGTTAGGTCGCATGATGGCTTGATAGGTAAAAATAACTATATATTGATTACTAGTTAATATGGCACTTGTAAGTTGTCAATTGATAATACAATTTTAACTATCTACCTAATAATCACATAATATCTAATAGAAATAATTCATATATGTAAATACTCTTTTAACAATAAAAACTATTCAATTATCTATAATAATATTTGAATATATTTAATATTTAATAAAATAAATTACCAATATGAGACTAAAATTTTCAACTAACAACCAAAAGACATATTTAATTTTGATCCATTAACAAGCTTAAATTTAAATTTTATTAGTCTGATGAATGAAATTATAAGAATTAATACTACTTCTATATTTTGAATACAAACTTTGATTGCTACAATACTAAATTAGATGTTATCTTTTTAATCTTTGATTTGAATATTAAGTTAGATAAGAAAATTGTTTTCAAAATACTCTTATAATCAATTTAGCTGCTTTATTTAATAGCAATACAAAAGTAAAGTTAAATATTTTATATTAAATGCATATATCTATACAAAATTGTCATTATCTAATACATATATAATTCAAAATGATATAGACATTAAAAGATATATTAAATTTTTTAAAAAAACTACTATTTCTATTATCTGATATGAAAGACAAGAAATATAAAATAAAAACAAACAAACAAACAAACAAACTCTACATGAATACTAAGATCTAAATGCAAAAAACATACATTTATATTATTAAAAACAGTTGTATATTGGTCTTATTATATATTACTTCAAAATTTCTTTATATGTACTAATATTTAATTATAAATGCATCATCATTTATTTCACTTTATAAAAATAAATATTTCAATATACAATAACATTTACTTCAATATGGATATTACCATGCACCAACATGTATTTCAACATGATCTTTGACACGTAGAAAAGATGTACTTCAACATGCACATCATGTAAAAATTATGTACTTCAAACATAAATACAACACATGTTTGTAAATGTTCAGTTTTAGATAATTTCATATTGTCAAAAGTACAAAAATGTCAACATCATAAATATAAACTAGTTGTTTTCTTGAGCTTTAAAAAATACACATCCAGCTGTTATGACTTATTAAAAAAAATTGCAAAAAATCTAAAAACATTGCATAATCAAAATCGGTAAACAATTAAATGACATTATTTCATCAAAATCTCTATTGACCATGTTTCGTTTATTCATTCACAGAGTTATTAAAACAATCCATTTTATTTTCAAAGTTTTACACAAATCAAACAAAAAACATTTAATGCACGACATGGTATACCGAAAAAGTACAATATGGACATAGCACGATTACCGACGAGACCACTGTAGACCGTGACAATTTAATAACGTCGGAGGAATTATGCACAAAAGGACGCACCACACTGCTTTTTCCAGTTGTCGGTTCGGAAGGGAGTGGCCCAAGTTACTGCGGCACTGCCTGCTTGTGTCAAAACGTGTACCGGGTGAAACTGCATTAATCCGAGAAAGCAGGCATGGCTTATGAAGCAGTTCGCCGGTACCCTCTAACCATCAGCATCTGTTACATCAGCATCTGTTACATCAGCATCTGCCTTGGCTTCGGCGATTATGGCCACGTAACTACTCACGGTTGGCACAGAAAGATTCGATTCAAAACTCGAGGGATCATAAATGCCTTACTATTGAGTCTGCGACACCGATTAACGTTAAAATCGACGGACCGAAGTTAAAGGAGTTTTCGATGGTGGCAGTTGCTAGATTTTCTCTCTTCGTAAAGGCATGTTCTGAGTCTCTTCGCTCCATGTAGTGAACAAAACAAAGTAGCTCTGGCATCGGAGTTTAGAAATACGTGGTGCCATGATGAAAATTTCTGCTATGGTGACTTGTTTTCCCCGAAGTGGAACCTATCACCGAGGCTCATCGACCTGACAACCCCAGGAGGGGCAAGGTCTATCTTGTAATTTTTTACGCAAGTTAACACCACTACTTTAAAAATAAATAAACAAAATCTCTCTACTAGAAAAATAGATATAGGGGATTCATTTCTCCAATACTGGATCCAAAACCAAAACCAATGAAATCCAACCACATTCATCATGATTACCATATTCTTCATCATGTGTAAATATCATGGGTAAATATCATATTCACATGTGTATTTACATGTGTAAATATCATGATGAATATGAAAGATATATACACAATATCTTTTGGATCATGATTACCATATTCTTCATCATGATCTAAAAACCTGCGTCATTATGATGCTGTTAAATATAATGCTGTGATGTTGGACTGATCAGTGGAAGCTGAGTCACAGCCGTAGCGGAACCGGTACCCAGCTGGTACCTCATACTGAATGAACGGAAAACTGATACGGCTCCTCGCACCAGAACATTACAATAATCCTTTAATCCTGTTCAATTTAAACCTGTATGAAAGTTTGTTGTTTAAAACACTTAACCCTGCACCCGTCTTACCAACATTATAGAGACTCCCAACAATCCGTTGCGCTCCTTTTACCAATGGGGACTATGAACAATTGCAATTCAGTTATGTCAACATATACACTTATCTGACGGATCAAGTAAACACGTCACAGTGCGAGCTTGGTGTCTGTTCTGCGAAGTCGGTGAGTCGCTACCTAGCACTAACCTGATCCAAAGATAATTTCATAACCAAAAAGTAGGTCACCTTCGTTAATTTGGCTGCGACGTCAAATCTGTAAAGCTTTGAAAGACCACGTTGCAAATTGTCTCCGCGTGGTGCTATACTGTTGGGCTGAGACTGTAAGCCAGCTTATCTCAAACGAGTACATCCCTTTCTGCGTGAGGCCTAGACTTCGTCCAAGACGGTAAGGGTTCTGGAGCTGCAATATGAAGGAGGTGCTGCTCTACGAGTTTCGTGCTACTGCTTGGTGGGCTTGGTGAGGAGAGATGCGCCGGTGACTCCGTGGACGTGGAACCGAGTTTGTGGCTGTGTCAACAAAGATTTCTGTGGCATGACAAGATTTGCGTTCGACATCTTATGACAACGTCCAGTTTGTGATGCGGGTCAACTTTGCCTCTTCTGACGACACTGCTGAGGGTCTCGACGTTTCTCCAGAGATCACTCTTGCTGAAAGGGGTTCATGGGAATCTGGCTACATCTAGGAACCGCAGCAACTCGCCGTCATCGTACCTCCAGTCTTCTACGCAGCATTGCTTATTCCTTGGCGATATTTTTGTAGGTCAATTGCATTGATCTGGATCAAGAACTCTAACGCTGAGGAGCCGATGCTGAGTGCCGTCCCGTACCCATGCAAGAGCTGAGCACATGTCGAAAATCCCAAGGTGGTATGCGAATGAACACAAGGTGAGTTCAATGTGGTACACAGTAGACTAGCAGTCCAAATACTGTTAATATCCTTCCAAAGCACTATCAGTGCTGTGCAAGCTTCTCCCTCTCGTTAGAGAAATTTGGAAACTCCACTGTATTGAAGTCCAAGGCACTCATCATCCCGCACATTAAATGCGGGAGAGGAGATTCAATTTCAGTAAACTTCACTGCAGGCGGTCGCTGTTCTGGTAACAGATTTGACCGAATTCGAGGATTAGAATACCACGCCCACTGAGGACGCAGGCTTCTAAGCTCTGAATTTCCGATTCATTTCCAAGCAGAAATGACGAAAGATGGCGCAAAGGGGGTGTCACTCCCCGGAAATGCCATCTTGCTCGGTACTCTGGGCACCGTGGTCATCTTCGTGTGCTTATTCGCGATGGACGTTGAAACCGTAATTGGCTGGGCGAAATATTCCTCGCAGAAAGCAGTTGCGGACATCTCGAGCATAAGAAACAACCAACCTGAAAAGTCTTCTTCAGAATCAGCTTCAGTTCGCCGTGACGCACTGGTGAATATAACTCATGACCCCACATGTCTTGCAAGGACACAACATCTTCTCTACCGGAGGGATCCCGAACGATTCCAGCCACTGCCAGAGTTCGACAAAGCATGGGATCGCTACGTCGCCATGCACCAGTCATGCACGCAGGGTAAGAATTGGACGCAGGTATTCCTGCACGAGCGGAACATGACAGTCGACTGCAACTATATGATTGTCATGGAGGGCAGCGGCGGGTTGGGGAACAAGCTGCTGTCGCTCACTTCTGCATTCGCTTACGCACTAGCAACAGACCGCATCGTGTTGGTGGAGAGCAGAAAACACTTCAAGGACCTGTTGTGCGACCCATTTCCGGGATCCTCCTGGTACTTGCCAGAAGGTTTTCCGTATGATAATGTTTGGGGGAACGCAACGAGAATGAACGTGGCAATCTCTAAGAATTTCACCGACGTCGACAATTTTGTTCGTCTCAGCCTCGACCACATCCAGGTACCTGTGCTTCAAATCTGACCTGTAACATTCATCTCATTACTGAAGTCTTCAAAATCTTCATCACTAGGCAACGCTACAGTGTCACGTTTAGGTTAAATTTTTCATAATGGAAACTGAATTGGTGACTTGGTTAATGGTTGTAGACATGGGCTGATGGCCAGTTCTTCTGCGACCACACACACAACGGCCTCGCGAAGGTGCGGTGGCTGGCATGGACCAGCAACCAGTACTTCATCACGCGTCTTTTGATGATTCCTCGTGTCTGGGAGCGTCTGAACCCCTTGGCTAAACCCGGGCAGATTTTCACCATTCTCAGTCATAAGCTTCTGCTTCCCAACAACAAGCTTTGGGCGCACGTTGTCCGTCTGTACTTCGCATACCTTGCAGGATCTTCTCGACGAGTTGGGGTGCAGGTTCGCCTTCATGGGCGACCCAACCTTGCTGAATTCGACCCCGTTGTATATGACCGAATCCTGGACTGCCTTCAAACCAATCGGGTGATTATCCATAGTTCCTACTTTGTCGTGATATGTGTGTTAAATTTTTCGTAATCTCGTCAACCATTGACCGCATAATTGACACCGTCGTCCTTGTCCGTTTCAGGCACTGCCAAAGCTACGAGAGGAAGAGGACGTATCAGATCTAATGTCGTTTGCCCGCAACGGATACGAGGGTTCAACGGAGATCTCGGTATTAGTTACGTCCCTGCAGCTTCGTTACTACGACGAAATGAAGGATTTATATGTAAACAGACCAAATGTGAACGGCACCGTGATTCGCTTCCACATGGTTTCTCACTTGGTAAGACATAAATAGTGCTTCTCCGGATAGACCGCGTTCAACATGCTGTTTAAAGCTCAAGTCAAGCGTGGCAACTTTTTCGAATACGTTCTCTTCATACTTTTTGGTTCTGTATGCAGGATCGTCAGGACGGGTCCATGCACCAATCCGAGACTGCGTTCGTCGAAATGTGGCTGCTGAGTTTCAGCGACGTGCTTTTAATCAGCCGTTACTCAACATTTGGGTACATCCCTCAGGGGATTGGCGGGATCATCCCGTCTCACCTCAACACACAAACAGTCCCACCGGGTCAGGAAAATAATGCCTCATCATGCCACCCAGGTATATCTACCCAGCCTTGCACCCATTTCCCCCAGAAACCCAGATGTGATCCTGGCTCCACCGGAAACGAATCGCACAGAGAGTGGATGCGGTGCCACGTCCGAGAATGCGTAGATCATGAAGGTGGGCTGCAACTAGTCCAGGAATCAGAGCAACCTAATGAAAGCGCAAGACTCTGGGGCGACGTTCTACAGAGTTAGGATTCGGCGATCCTCGACCTAAGATCATGGCCAGCTTTTGCCAACCCCAGGTTCTGATCCAATATTTCGAAGGATCAGTAGCCTCCAATCTAGTTGTTCAGAAACAGCACATGGGTACGCGGCCTACAGTCCGCATCGACATGATACTGCATCCCTTGGTTTCAAACCGGAGACGACGTCCATGGAAGTGCCCGGGGATGGTGTTACTGAAATAGGAATTCATGCATTGGTGATGGAGTTGTAGCTTGTGCGATCGGCAAGGTGAAGGGCATGAGTGATGCACAAATTAAGTTTGGTGTTTTTGATTTTCAACGCCCCTTCTTTATTTCCTCCTATGTCCCCACTACGTAATGCGCTCACCCATTCCTTCCTTTGCCTCCAAACCCACCTGAAGCTATGCATGCTCCTCTTGCGCTGTGTTTCAGTAGCGTAATCTCCGTCTACTCGGCTCACAAGCCCACGCGAAGCTGTGCACGATCCGATTGCGCTCAATCTCCCCGAATTGTGAACAATTGTTAATTCCAAAGAAGTGTTGCCATCTTAGAATCGAGTTTATCAGGGTGAAAACCAGAAGTTGTCATATGCAAGTTAGTGAAGGACGGTAAATTTTGCCGCTTTGATGTTGATCCCTTCTGTATCCGACAAAATGCAGTGAGACCTTAATTTCCTTTCTCAGTGCCTGCTAGATGGGGACAATGAGGGGGTGGAGTTTACATATGGTACACTGCTAATATGGATTCTAGAAGAGGATATGCTTTTGTGAGAGAAAGAAGAAAATTAGGGCAAAATTTACGGAAATTGTTAGATGGAGTTATTTGGAATTGTACAGGGTTGGTACTTGTTATAACTCTTGAATAAGTTTTTTGAAGACCAGAATTCTTTACCGTAACTTTTTTTTTGATTATTTAGGTTATCAAATGCTCATTGAACCATCATTTTTTATTAGCTATATTAGAATTACTGAGAGGATTTTTGGGTTACAGATTTTTTGTGCTCACAACTGTTCAAAAGAGATTGTTGTAAAATGATGAATATTTTTTTTGTGGTCTCAAATTATTCAATGTTCTTGTATTATTTATTATATATGATGCATGCTGCATACTTGTACAAATCAATGATTTCTTGGATTGTCTGTGAGTATCTAATACTATGATAGGTTTTTTTTTTTTGTTTTTTTTGTTTTATTTATTTATTTATTTAAGCATGAATTTTTATGCAAATAATTGTAATTTTTTTGTAATTTTTTTTACTTTGAAAATAAAACATTCTATTTTTAATAAAATATTTGTAATTTTTTTGAACAGAGTGCAACATTTTATTGTCAAAATGATATTTTCTTTATATATATATATATATATATATATATAAATGAGTAATTATTATTATCATAAGTAGTACAAATACATTGTAAATCTGCCTTGAAAAAAATACTAATCTTTGTGCGTAAATTGTTTAATTTCATTTCAATCTACTGACCAATACGGAAACAGACAACTCATTTTCTGACCACTACGTTGTTAAAGATTATCTTGCTAATATGAATTTTTACATTTCTGAGTTTAAGCAATATTTTATAGCACTACATTATTTAAATATTTCTAATGGTAAGGCATACAAATGTTTTTACTTATCGATTTTCCTAACAAGACAATGTTTCACATGTAGAGCAGCTCTTTGACACAAATCTTCAAACTGCAGTAGAAAAAATGCCTTCCACTACTCCACAAAGTACACAATAATATTGGGATTTTCGGATTTATATACCAGCAACTCAACACAAGGAACATGATGGGGTGTCGACACAAAAAAAAAAAAATTGCGTGTCAAACAGGCAAAGTGATTAGAAGTTAGACCAAAGAACGATTTAAGTGACTCAAATGGCTATTTTCCAGTATGAAATGGGTGATATCTTAGGGCTATTCATGAGGCCAAAAACTCTAGAATAGTTGCTTCAGCAGCCATGCTTGGCTTCTGACATTGTTCATCTTCTTCTGGAAGCAATGAGCCACTAGAATGCAGCAAGTTGCCACTTGGAGGAGCTAACATGGACAGCATCCGCTCTACCGAATTCCATTGCAGTTCTTTCAAGGACTTGCCTGTACAGAAACAAATCTCATGTTTTGTTTACTCAACTTCAACAATCCAACAGCTACGAGTTCTTTAAGTTGTCTAGAAGCACAAACACTTTGAAAATCAGGAGTGTAGTTCAGAAGCGCATGAATCTAGGCTCCAAGTCCGAGGTTGAGGTAAATTTGTAGCAATTAACAAATTCTATTAAGAGTGCACAATGTGCCTACATATTCAATATTCAATAATATAGGATAATTCTTTAACTATGAATGCAAGGCCTAAGTGATCTGTACATCTAGATTAAGTGGATGATAAACATTTGTGACCTTAGATGAAGTAAGCTAACATCCCTTTTCATACAAGGTTGCATGAATTTTATATAGTTTATCATTTCTTCTTCCTACAACTATGGCACAATACCAAGAGCATCAAGAGAGGTCAAGTAGTTTTCAAGTTATTTAGTATATGATAATAGCATATGCATTAGTACTTGTGTGCTCATGTGTTGATGCCTTCATAATTTATAGGTGTGTAGATGAAGATTGATGTGGTTTGTAGTAAACCCAAGTTGTTATACAACTTGTTTTATCATATCTTTAGTCTTTTTGGTAAAACAATTAATTGTTTTTTTGAATAGAAGGTATTGAGAGGCATCATCAAGTTGGATCTAATTAGATTTATTTATTATTTATTATTTAATTTTATTATATTATTTTATTACTCTTCTTTAGATATGTATTCATGTACTAAGGATTATTTTTATTCTTTAAGCAAGGCATATTAGAAAAGGTAATAGAAATGTTATTTACAGAGTTCATAGCTCCACCAATTTATGCAACAAGGTTTCCATTGCCTATTGAAGTAAAAATATCTATTTCTTTTTAACAATATCGTTGGTGCCAAATTGCATCTCATATGCCTTGTGAGGCCAAATTTCACCACTTGATGAAACTTATGCCACACAATAAGTCCAAGAGGTGGAATTGGAGAGCTCCCAATTGTGTAATTGTTAGATTAATTTAAATCTTTATATTAAAAATTCAATTATTTTTAGGCCTTCCAAGCAATGGTTACCAACATTAAATTAACATGCTAAATAAAATTTACTATGCAAACACAATAAAAATAATTAACTAAATTATTACTATTAATTGACTATAAGAATAAAACTTAAGTTTGAATTAAAAGCTAAGTTAAAAGTTAAGTTAAAAAAAATTAAGTTAAAAATTAAGATTAAATAGTTAAGTTAAAAGTTAAAATTAAAGGTTAAGTAAAAAGTTAAATTTAAAAGTTAAAGTTAAAAGTTAAAGTTAAAATTAAAAATTAAAGTGAAAATATTAAAGGTTAAAAGTTAAACTTAAAATTTATTAGCCAAAAAGTGAAATGTGGAGCTTACAAGTCACTGGGAAGACGATAGTAAAAATAAAGTGAGAGGTGAAAGCAAAGGTACCTTGACAACACGTAAGGATTGAAGGCAGCGACCTCCTTCTACTCTAAAATTTGCCAAAATTTTTAATGGGCTTCAATTTGAATGACTCTTATCTTGTTGCAAGGCTGACTTGAAGGTGCTTTTGATCCAACAATCCTCGTTGCAATCTAATAATCGGGTCGGGAGAATTCCTCCGTTAAAGTTGAGTGATCCAAACTGCCACGGTGACCAATCTTTTTCACTTAGAAATTCACTAAAAATTCAGATTGTCTTCAAATTCACCAAAACTTGTGTCTTTCAGAGCTTAGCTTATAAAGATTGATGCTCCCAAAATTTCAAATAAATCCAATCACCAAGCACTGAGAAATGCCTTTCCAAACTCGATTGATTTAAACTGCAAAGGCAGTCAACTCCCTCAAATTCAAAAATTTACCAAAACTTCTTTCTTACTCCAAATCAAGCAAGTCTTATCTTGTTGGAAAGCTAACAAAAAAAGCTACAACTATTAAAAATCTCACATTGAAACAATAGAAATTGAGTGACTGATTGAAGAAAATCCGAGGCCCTTGAAACCCTTGGGATATTTGAGATATCTACCTCAATGAAACATATTTTAAAACTTAATGACCATCCTTCACAATGCAAAATCCATACATACACAATCACAAGGTTCACAATGAGAATTAAAAATCGAAATAAAATTAAGATTAGGGTTTCGGCCAAATTTTGGCATGTCTCTACCCTACATCCAAAAGAGGAGAGAGAGAGGGCTTGGAAAACCAAGCATTTCTTATACAATTGAGTGGAGGCTTGTAGAAGGGTGGCTACATCTCCATCCTTGATTTTTAAGATCCCTAATCTAGATCTACGGCCTTCATTCATCCAAGAGCCAATCTCGTTACCGAGGTTGATGGCTCTTGTAAGTGGTCAAGAAAGCATTTTTTTTGTAAATTTAACTTCACTATTGTGTTCAAAACACCTTTTTAAGCTAATGTTGACTACTCACATGCCTCAATCCATGCTCAATTATAATTTTCATGGAAGTTTTTACTTACAAGGATCTTGGCTATTTTTGTGAAATTCTTCAAAATGAGAATTTCATTGCTTCTCTTGTATTTTGAAGGAGAGGTTGCTGATCTTGTTTTCTTCACTCCACGAGGTATATCTGGTACCACCATTGCATTAAAAAGACTCCCATTAAGTAGAAAAACCACCATGCCACTTAAATTTGTTGATTTTGGAGGAAAATCCAAAATTACCATTGCTAACTTCCCTAAATCTTTTAGAGAATTATAATTCCAACTCCTAAATCATGTGAATGATTATAGATGCACTCATAGGCTTTTAGTCAACCCTTATAGTAATGACTAACAACCTCAAAATTATTAAACTAACTAAGTTGCTATTCTAATTTTTTAACTCTTATCACTTTAGTCCTAATTAATCTAATTCAAGGAATTAGGCTATGATTTATACCATCAAGGGTTGTAATCCTAAAAATTCTATAAAACTAAATTCTACTTATATAAATCCTAATCTAACATGTTTAATTATCATAAAATAGGAAAATAACAAAAATTTAAATTTTAGAGTATAATTGAGAGCTCACATGCCTCTAATTCTATCTTCAATCCTATCAATAACAATTGATAATATTGATATTTGCCATATTAGATGTGAAGATTTTAATTACAAAAGATCATTTAATTATAATGGAAACTTTTTTTCATGGCATATAATACATCTTACTACCACTTATAATATTTTTCAGGTCAATGCTACCTATATAATAATATTTATATAATAGAGCTTGAGTGATTGCTTCTACTTTTGATTGATGGAATTCCACTACTTCTATTGGTATAATATTTGCTTCCTGTTCAACCATTTCTGTACCTAATCCATCATGCACATGTAATCTAAGGGCTTGAAGTTGAAATATTTTTAATTCACTTGGATGTTAAAAATCTAGCAAATCAAAATTAGTCTATTGTCCATATTTTTTCCAATTTGTTTTTTGAAGAGTTATGAGCTCACCAAGTAATTCATCTTTATTATCAAGAAAAATTATATCTTGACTATATTAAAGCAAATAAATAAATGTGAAAGTAGAATAAGTTATATTGTAGAAGATATTACTTTAAATAAGTTGCTAATGGTTAAAAGATTTGGTTCTTGATATGTAAGAAGGCTAAGAAATAAAGTAGATGAATGGATAAAGGATCTTAAGAGTATAAAAAATATAATAAAGACATATTCTTATAGTAGATAAGATAGCAATAGATAGTCTTGGTAGAATTTTGGATGGATATATTCATCAAAAGATGGAAGTTGTCCATCAGGACAACAACCACCATCTTTAAATAATGAGTATTGGAAGTCAGAGATATCTTACTCCATACTCTCTTTATAAGCAATTTTGCTGATGCAATATATTTGTGACTTCAAAGTTTTTTTTTTTTTTCAATAGATTATAGGCTCACTCACCTTTAGTTGTGAATTTTGAAGTTTTTTGAAGTCTTCGTTGTTGTGAGGAATAGATCTTATGA